CCTCTCGAACTTGCAGTCAATTTTTCAGTCGACTTCGAATTGCAATGATAACCTCCATGCCGGAAATCGACGACTGCCAGAATTTTTTTCAGAGATGCGAGATCCGTGGAGGCATTCGACAGGAGACAAGAACGGCGCCTCTCGGGACAACGACTGAATCGAAACAAGGAAATCCTCGCCATTTTTTGGTGATTAGAGGGTGTCACGAATAGGCGTTTGCTAGAACTAGGTATTTGAAATGGTACTTGAATCAGATAGAAGATAGATGAATAAAAACAAGGATGGGTTCTCGTGGCCCGGTAGGGAAAGGGGCGACTCCGAGAAGGCGCGCTGTCTTTACAGCGGCCTCCGGCCGCCAGTCAGCAGAATGTGTGAAGAGCAACGTGTGACAGGAGGAGTCGATTCGCGGTCGACTCACAGTCAGTCAAAGTCACATTGATATTATACAATAAATTGTTTCCCCGGTGTCATTCCCTCAGTGAAACATAATGTAGGTTGTTCTCCCGCAACATACATCATCCAGGAGATGTAGTATGTTGTGAGGTGATCGAATCCGGGCGTTTTATCAGTTGGGATCAGAATACGGAGCGCTTGTGTACGAATTTTCGGCTCGCTTGCTTCAAGGTTATCGGCCTGAAGGGGTTCTATGAGATTTAATCTTGGGGGATCGATCAAGTTCCCGGCTGCTCCGCTTCGAAGCTTAGGCTAGCAGTTCCGATGTGTGGTCATGAGCGGAGCCGATGACTCCGCAGCGAATGCGCTATAGTAATTCATGGCTCTGGGATTCTCCTCAAGTAATAATTATAATGTATGCGAGTGCGAATACACGCAAAGCTTTCATGTCCTTGAGTTAGCTTAGGAGAATTCCGTGGCTAAACATTTTTTCTTCACTCAGCATCGAGGGTCGGGGAGGCGCTGATCCGCTTCCAACAGGCTTTTCGCTCGCTCCTCGTCTAGCGGAATCAATTTAGCAAGCTCACTCGGCTTTGACTCAAGTTCAAGGCGGATCATTGTATTTTTTTCTCTCATGAGATCTCCACCCTTTTAGCAGAATCCCCCCATCCTACCGGAGACTTCGAAGAAGAAGGCAATCAGCCAGCCAGTCGTCCGTTCACTAATTGCGAAGATCGTGGAATCGTTGCGTATCTACAGTAATTTTTGAAGGGCAAATTGAATTATTTGACCGGTTGACAACTGCTTCCGATCGGATGCCGATTGAAGCTGATGAACATGCAGAGCGCTCCAGGCATCGACCACTGAGCTATGTGATGCTCAACGTCGCTTATCCGAGAGCTCTCTTGCAGCGGCAGAACCAGGACGTGATTCGCTCCTGTTCTCCTGTGAGCTAGTCTCCCGGATTCGCAAGTTCAGATGCTCTGTTCGCAGGCGAGTCTCATCATCATCGGCATCCAGAGGCGTCCATCGAGCGCGAGCGTCGAGACATCGACAAAGACGCCTCCAATTTCCGCACGGCCATTGAAGTCCGATGGAAGCCCCTCGCAGCGGTAATGAACAGAATTAAGGGAAAATGGGTATCCACACAAAGCCAAGATGAAGGCAGCCTATTACAGCCGGCTTCCCGGAATGGGCTCACTGGGTTCGGCGTCCAGTCCAATGAGCAGAGTCCCACATACCGGTATGTCTTCCGACGAGGAACGAAGCGCAGAGCCTGACTGTCCTTGTTTGAGCTCACAATCTAAGAGCTAGGACAGCGAAAAGTAGGCATCTATCCCGGTCTGGCGGATGCTCTGTTCCTGGGGGTGGAGATCGAGAATCATTTGGGAGTCACCAGAGGATTTTGCCCATTGTCGATCGCTCGGTTATTTTTTCCTAGATGTCCGTCAGTCGCCGGGTATCTACGATTTCCCTGTAGTCCTCAGCATTGAACCAGAGCGTCGAATTCCGGGGGCAGGCCAACAAAAAGTGAAATGATTTGACCACCTGAAACCGGATTTTGGCCGCGCCGTGCATTCACCCATATGGGCCGCCTATGTAAGGAGTTAATCCGCACTATCTTGATTCTCGTCTCGAGCGTTCGACTCTTCGAGAACGGGTTTCACTCGGCGGGAGTTTTTCTGTAGCCGAAGGCAGCTCCAGAAAGTCGGAAGATCTTGCCAGACAGCGTGGACCCTCTCTGGCCCAGTGAGTGACTCCGGAGAAAACGAAAAAGAGGTCTCATCCACGGAGAAGACTGTTTCTCGCTTCCGAGACACAGGTGATGCAGAGTTCGGAAACCACATTCCGTCCCGTTCATTAGCTGTGCCTGCACTCAACGGATGCCATCGAGAGCACTCAATCTATCGGCGGTATCTCGCTGACTCTAGCGAAAATCTTCCTGATCGCCCCGACCTGTGATGCGATTCTAATTGGGCATTGCTCAGATGGAGTGACTGGAGATTTTCTGTGAAATTATAAACTGCACCGCAGGAGGTTGAAGTTCATGATCTAAGAACCACGCGAACAGCCTCGGATGACTCACTAGATTTATCGTTAATGAGGACGTATCGACTGTCCCGCCCATCGGCCCCGCCGTCAGTTGCGGATTGTGAAATGGATAAGGTTCTCCACTCTCAATGTAGAGAGCGAAGCTTTGGAACCGAGATTCGACCCGAAAAATCGGCTGCACCGACAGAAGATTCGACCCTATTCTTACTCTTCCGGTGTGCCTCCGTCTCGAGAAAGCAGCGTCTATCTTTTGTGACTCTTCCCTCGCGAAGCGTCGGCATTAGCTCACGAAGTCTTCCGCGGCCAGGATTAAGAATGCCACCGGCGATAAAAACCACCGACGTAGACTCTGACGGCTCGCTCCAAACTCAGCTGAAGACCGTAAGCCAATGGAAGCGACCGACATCATTTTTCACCAGGCGAAGCTCTGGCGGTGCGTGTGTTCTCCTTATCAGACCAATCCGCTATCGAATCTCGCAGCGCGCTGCTCAGTTGTAGGTTTCAGCAGGTAGGAGGGATTCGAACGACTTCACCACGTTAGACAGAGGCTATCCATGATACCGTGCGACCAGCTATCGCCTTGAAGCAGACACGAGGTAAATTTCTGCTCAGCAAACACATGTCCGGGGGCAGCCGACCGAAGAAGGAGCAGGATTCTCGACATCCTCCACGGAGACTTACTTTCACAGGCTACATCGGAAGTCCGCAGACGAGACTCGGGAACAATTCGCGTGATACTCTCAAGCCGGGTATTCTCGAGACCTCTCTGCCGATTTATGTGGACCTATTTAACGGTATTCTTGTCCCTGGTCATCCATGTGAAGAGCCCCGGATCCCTCGAATCTAGCGCAAATGAAGAGGAGCATGCTTCTCTCGTGCTCCACGATGCGGAATTTAGGATTCAGTGACTGAGATTTACCTCCGATTTTGAATCAATGTGAGCCTGAATACCCAGAATATCGCGTCAGTCACATGCAGGACTGCTAATACGAGGCGAAAAGTGATCGGGTACACTCGGAGGATCGAGTCTCCTTGTTTCAGTGCATAGGGAGACTCTTAGGCTCATCACGAAGGGACGATTCTAAGCACATATAAGCCTCGGAGCACCCTAGACAGTCTCGGATCTTATGCGAAGTCTACCCCGGACCAAGGCCAAGAAAGCTAATTCTTCGTTCCTTTGAGCCAACTGCGAAATCTCAGACAGCGCCTCGAGCCTGGCTCATTTATTCATTGCCTCGAGGAAACGATTCCGAGGTAAAGGAACATGAGCGCTTTCCGGTGGTTGCGAATGAGGAGGAAAGAGGACCGCGGCAAGAGAGGGGACTCCAGCCGTGAAAAGAATAAAAACCTTGCGTCTGAACTCGGCTCAGCGGAACTAGCTCCTCTGTGGGAGACGTACGTGCGCGGACGCGTCAGTGGTACCTGCTCGGGCAGATCGAGTCGGCACAAAATAATCTCGGAGTCCGAAACGTGAGTTGCTCATGTTCTAGCGATCTATTCGGTGATTCGCACTGAGAAGCGCGGAGAAAGATAATTTTCCGTCAGACCGGCGTGAGCTTTTCTGGAGAGAGCATTCGAAACTCGACTCCATGCAGCGCGAAAGATCAGCTCGCAACGGATGCTCTCTCCCGATCGCGAGACTGCTAGAAATCGCGATTAAAACCATCAGGTAGGACGGTGGATCCGGCATCTTCAGCGAACTCATGTAGCTACGTCCTAGTGATCAGGATAGACAATAGTCAAGCTCGTCATCAGAAAGCGACTCCGTCTGCTGGACGCCAAGCGAATGAGCGTTTCCCTCGCGAAGGCTCTCAACCGCGGATCTTTTTCGGGAAACGTTGTTCTTCGGGTATCCAGTGAGCTATTGGGCAGCTGCTCGAGTTTCAGAATCTCGTGCGATGCCGATCGTTCGGCAAACGAAGTTTTCCGGGATCTCATAATCTCCTCCCTGTCAGGAATCGCCCGCAAGGCTGATTTTCTCTCGATCGAAGCGGAGTACCACGATCAAGTGGGCGAAACTTATCGATCTTCCATTCGTTGGTAAGCTGCCCAGGGAGGTCGCTGAAGGAAACCCTGATATAGCGCTCGACTAGATCCAGAGGGCTTCTCCCCTCCGATCCAACCGAATTTCACTCCTGCCGTCAGCTGGGAGCAGAAGCACAGAAAATGTTCCAACTGTCAGAGGCAAAGTGCGAACTGCGGGCCGGTTTTCTATACCGCGATAAGAGCTTGATCGTTTCCCCTCTTCTTATCTCGGGGACTCGGCGGGATTCGTCGTGAATTGTGACCCTCGATAAAATCCGGGTTTCTGTCTATTTTCGCGAGAGGAGCGGTTGAGTGCTTGGAGTCCGTGGGGAATCACCATGGTCCTTGAGGAGATGAAGAATTTATCGACGATCACCTTGCTTGTCGAGCGTTCTGTCCATATCCGAGCGGAGGGATTCATCGATAAGCCACTCCATTAGATCGGAGGTAGACATACACAAGTTCGCTGTATTCTTTCAGAACATCTCGGGGAAGCTGAGGGCCTGCCTCTTGAAGCAGCAGGAATGATGATGCTTTTCGGGTGAGTTCGTCTTCCTGATACGATGCGAAACGATGGTTATAGAGTCAGCTTCCGAATCGGTGTATTCGGTCTTCGAGTTTAGGGAGTCCGGCTTTATCATTGCTCCCAGCTCCCCGTTCTACAGGTTTCTTTCGGGTCCCTGAACCTTCCAATATCGGAATTCGTATGCTTTCTTTGTGTCGATGTGTTTAACCCTCTAAGTGCCACCGGGAGAACTCCCGGGAGAACTGAGGGACGCCGCGTCCCTCAGTGGCACTCAATGTGTAGGTCCGGAAGAAGTGATTCAGCTCCACATTTGGACAACGGCTAGACTCCCCGGAACACTCAGGAACGGAATCTCCCTATTCCAGGATCTTCTACCTCTCGCTGGCTTCAGCCGTCTCGGCGAAGTACACTTGTCGCCAGTACAGCCCGGGTCATATTACGTGTCAGGCTCGCAATCCCCAGTGCCGGATCACTGACGATCATTCTCTGAGCTTCAGCGAGCGGCATGAGATCCTCGCGGCTCATAACCACATCCGCCGCGAGGCCGCCAAGGGTCTTCTGAGGGGATTCGGATTGCCCGAAGCAGCCAATATGAAAAAAATGGTAATTCTATAGCGACTTTCATTCACGTGAGAGGTGATCTTGGGGGGAGGGGGCTAAAGAAGGGTAAAAATCGCGATCTCGGAGTCTCTGCGGGGAAATAATTGTGACTTGAACTTGCGAACCCCGCAGGAATACGATGACGACTTGGCAAATAACGCCCAAGCTCACGTAGAGGTCTTCTGTCAGTTACATCACGACCAACCCTGGCAGCGAATCACAGGTAGAGGGGAGCCCAAGTTCATAATATTCCGCATTCTCGCCGAGATCGCCTTCCTTCCTCCTGTGAGCATCCGATGATATTCCCTCGTTTCCCAGGACTTTATCCCGACGTTGGACAAAACGTTTACATCACTGAGGTGAAGTATCAGAAGCTCCAAGAGGATTCATGGTCCAATGTTATAGAGAGCTTGTGGGGCAGGAACGAGGCCGCCTTATTGCGCGGGGGTCACTTCGGACGGGGAATGACTTTGCGCGGTTATAACCTCCACGGAACGGGGCATCTGACGCAGGTAAGTTCGTCTTCACGGCGTTCATCCTCGACATCGATCGATCACAATCGGAGCGAGGCTCCATCGTTCTTGCATGCAGTTTATCATGCCCGCTGAGGTCTTCTTCCTCCTCCGATAGCTCCTTTGGGCAGAAACCGAGAGAGTTGGCTGCGGGAAAATTATCTTTGAGAAAAACGGCGGAACGAGCGATCTAAGAACCTGCGATTACGGTGAAGGGTGAGCAATTTTGTGATCTCCGACTTCATTGCCATAACGACAGTAGGATGGAGTGTTGAGTCTACCCATCGTACTTCTGAATGCGACTAATGATAACTTTCCGTAGTGGAAATATCATCGGCTCCGAAATGTACGTCGAGGGTCCAGCGTGCAGCGCGTGTCCCGCGACCCACCCTTATTGCGATGACGCTCTCTGCTCACGAGTTCCCGCAGGCACCTTCAGCCACCCGAGAACTTCTCATCGAGCTACAGCCGGCTCTGATTACCACACCGACGTCACGCCTACAGCCTACTACGGCCCTCGACCATACCAGCAAGCCCACCCCCATCTCGATCGTAGTCCTGCACCACACGTTTGGTGGAACGCTGCGACCGTGGGGAGCTCTTATCCGCAGATCTCTCACTACAAGGCCTTCCATGTAGGCGCTGCTAGTCCAAGGGATCACCTGAGTGGCTTTGAGAAGACTTTCAACTACCAGGCTTTCACGGTGCTCCGCAGGAAGAAGCGAGGACTAAGGCGAGCTATGAGGAGCACCAAGATTGCGTGAGAGGTGTCACCAACCGGAGCATCACGTCTGAGTTGACTATTCTGGACAACACAACTTCGTGGAGCGATTCTCCCGCCTGTCCTGGTGTGTCTGTCGCAGACATGCATCTATTTGTGTATGTGCGCGCAATCGAAGCTCTGACAAGGGTATGCGGTATGACGAAGTGATTTCGGAAAGAGAGACGGCACAGAGTCTTCCTCGAGAAGGAGGGAGAACGAGCACGGGGCAGATAATTTCCATCCGTGGTGATGATGATGACCGCGAGACGAGGATCTGCTCGAGCTCGTTTACATAGAGCACTTCCCTTCGATCACTTATTCAAAAGAGAGCCTTGCTCTCCGAAGTTTGAGAACTGGCCATCTCAATCCTCGTATTCGATGTACTTGTCAAAGTTGCTGTAGGTAAGCAAAGTCGCTGGTGTATAGATAGGTCCATCAAGCTCCTAGACATTCCGCGGAGTAATCGCGTTCAAATGGGGAGTTCATCGGGTACCCTTTCTCGCTTGCTTCTGGCGCTCCTTGGGATTCCGTCTGCGCTTCATCTTACGAGCTCCCGCCTCCTGTCATTCTGCCCTACGTGAGAGTTTGATGGATGGAGGCGTTCATCGGGTGCGCAAGGAGGCCGATTCAGGCTGAATCGTCGACGATGGAACTCTAGAATCGAGCCGAGGAGTTGATATCATTATGAGTACAAAACAAAGTACAGGCTCGGTATATGGTCTAAGTCGTGTAGAAAAAATAACAGACACAATGGAGTTGTTGATGCGATGGACTTCACATAGGCTGTCACGGGAATTCGATCATACCGCAGCCCCGACTCGATTATGTAATGCCTCGGACTTTCGGTAGATGGAAACACTTTCAAAATTCACTCGTTGTACGATTGTGATTCACTGAGGGGTACCCGTGTCCGCGATTGACTTTCGTTTTGGGCTAGGCGGAGGCATCCGGAAGAAAGACCCTGTCCCGAATTCGGCCTGAACGGCTCGACTTCGCTGCCGCTGCGGCTCGGGGACGAAACTTATGTATGTCTCCTTGTGTCTAATTCGTGATGCATTTGATCAAATCTCATTTGGCTTTATACAAGGCGCATTTTCGATCATGATGCTTAGCCTCCTCAATTAAAAGCCGAGGATGCCCCTCCGCATGGCTGATAGGAGTCATTCTAGGTGAGGATCCTCGGGCACCGCACGCGTGATGTCTCCTTTGATCCAGTGTTCCGATGCGTCATGATCGAGCTCCAATGACCTCGAGCTGATCCGATCGGATTCGAACCGAGACGCGTTGATACAATCAAGTTCTCGAATACCCCAGGTCGAAAAAGGATGATATCATCGAGTGAAAAAGGTCACATAATCGAGTCGAATGGTCATAAAATCGAGTATGATGTTCTCGATAATGCAGTGCATTCCTGGAAGAATTCAATAACAAAATTAAGTTCATAATGATCCAATCATACATTCCTACGAGGGCGAACTCATCGTGTTAATGCCCTATGCCATCCAGTGCGAACGTTGATCGACCCTCAGGCCCCGGCTCAATGGATGCTCTGAGTATCGACTCGCATCTTGGGATTGTATAGGCTAGAATCGCAGAGGATTCCTATCATTGAAATCCCAATTACCGCCAGAATCGAAAGTCCAGCGTGGTGGAAGGAGTTCACCGATTGGCTAAGACCCCGCGGTCTTATTCTAGACTTCTGGCCAGCGGATCCTCCGACACACATGAAGATTCTCGAGCTTCTTGGTGGAGACAGGATCCACCATTCCCACTTGATAGGCACCTTTCAGGCTGCAGTCCCTGATTGTCCTTGATTTGAGGCTCTCGTTCCACTCCAGCTCTTCTGTCCGCAGCGACAGTATATCGCGCATCACGAGCGCGGCCGTACCCGTAGGCACAGCCAAGAGCGGTTCGCGCGAGCGCGCGGACCGAGGGAGAAGGGTTGTCGATCGCAGTAAACAACTGTCATTATCTGTACAACGCATGAGCGACCAATGCAATTTTTTCGGTGACGCGGTTTCCAACCTACAAGGATTTACTGAATCAGTGTTGGGATCGATTCGTTTTAATTCCCTCAGCTTAATCCGATGTGTATCATGTCGAACAAGGTCTCGAGCCATTGACACGCAAATCGAGACTGAGGAAACAACAAGGAGATCGAGGAGTTAAGAGGCTTGTCCCACCAATCAGAGTCTGTCGAGCGGGGACGGCAACCGTTTACGGACTCTGTAAGGCGTCGCGTCGCCAGCCTCGCTTCCCAGCTGACATTTCCTCATCATGGACGAGGTAATAATTGCTCCGGAACTCTGAAAACCTCTCTCTCTCTGGAGGTGAATTATTCTCCCAATACTCGCGAGACAGGTGCGCTTTATCCCCAGGAGCTTGGGACGTTTCTTATCAGGATTTCCGCCAGCATCATGCATCTCCCTACGTAGGAATGTGTCGGGGATCGATATTTATTCTGGGAACTGAAATCAATCCGACCGACTCGTTCAACGATTAATCGAGCGGAAAATGCTCGGATATCGATCCGTAATATCCATCTCGTCATTTTCCTTATGCCGACAGAAAGTACGAGTCGGTCCCCAGTGAGGTGATTTTTGCACCATCGGTTCCCCAGTCGAGAGGACCACCCCATCTCTGGGAGAATGAATGAAAAGCATACCGACTAAAAATCATCAGAGGATCTTTATTGCGTTCGATCCGCTCCTGAGCCAACGACTCCAGTAGTCGATATGCGTGATCGTCTCAAAATTCCATTCGCGGCTTCTGTATCGATACTCACTCCGAGGATGTGCTCTCTCGACAACGGATTTTTCGGAAGCCCTCCCATCTTAACATCTCCTAAGAGAATCATCACCGATATGGAGGCAGCGGAAAAAGCTGAATCAATTGATTCCAATCCTCCACCGGCCAGATTCCGTTCTCGACAACATTCGGAGGACTCTTCTTCCAGTCCCAGTTTTTTTTCGGCAATCCCCAGTCAGCACCGTAATTCGCTTCTATGTACGCGAGAGGTGGACAAGGTATCTGCACCAAGATGTCCAAAAAATCCGTGAGACACATATTGAAGGGACGAAATATGTATTTGTATTTTTGACCTGTCCTGGCTTGCGTCCCGCCATTCCAGGTCTGATTGGCTTCGCGGTAGAAGAAGAAAACGTCCAACTTAATCTGTTCGACAACGTCGAGAAAAGATAACTCATAACTGTCCTCGACTTTTCCGAAGACGTGGGTGAGAGCCAAATCGTGCGTGGAAAATTCTTCGATGAGAACGGGCTTATAATCCTCGATGAATATGCCGATGTCGACATCGGTCGTATAGGGAATCACGTCGCACTGCCGGAACCAGCCAAGGCAGGTTCCGGATGACAGCCAGAAAGGAATACCGTGTTTTGTGAGCAGAGTCTTCACCTTGGAAAGTAGCCCGCGAACCCTGATCCGGAAGAGCTCGGCATCGGGCCTGGAATCGCGGCCCCCGGTGCGACCAAAGAAAGCCACGGCCGACGTTCGGTTGCAGTCGATGAACTCCGATGACGGGGTGAATTGATGCATCGGGGTGAAGATTCTGATGTGGTCCAGATGCGACGCTAGGATTTCCGTTTTCGGATGAGCTCCGGTTGTCAGCGTGAATTTGAGTTTCTTCTCGCGAAGCTGGTGAAGTTTCGGCAGGGCGGAATGCCACCAGTAGTTATCAGGTCTGTCGTGAAACACAACTATATGAATCAAAATCGTAGGTCGAGCATCGTCCTGATGCTTATGCGAGCGTCGTATCAAGTAATGAGCAACGGAGTCGACGACGAGTTCCACCATCTTCGGATTGGGAACTCGCACGACTTCCACTTCGAAGCCCATGGCCAGCAGCCGTTCGCAGAACTGGGGTTCCCTCTTATTGGAGAAAGTGGATATCGTACCGAACTGGAATATCTCACCCGAGCAAAAATGCATGCATGTATCGCCAGAAGTGCCATGGTGGCTTATCGCTCCGAGATCAAGCGCGAATATCGGGAATCGCACCGAGCGAGAAACGTCGACGATATCACGAACGGTTCTCCACGAGCTTGAGCCGCTGAAGTCGCGCACGAGCTTCGCCGGAGTCCGCAGAAGACTCGCGATTAAAGATAGCTGTATCCCGAGGGCAATCAATATCAGAACCACGGTGAGACACCGTCTCACGCGTCGCTGGGAAAGTGCCCTCGCGCAGACAAACTCGACTAGTCTCAGCAATGCTTTCATGTCAGATTCATCGCGGCCTCTTCACACATGTCTTATCTTCGGAAGAATTTCGTTTGCACTTTCTGCATTCATAGTTGCTCCTCGATTGATGCGCGCGGTCTGGCGATTCGGCTCGATGGAAGGCAGAGGGAACGCCTGGACGTTGGATCGGTGACAGCGAGCACGCGGGAGCCATGTTTGTTGTGACTGTGACCCTTCCCTTCGAGTCGCAGGGAAGGGCATCCGAATCCGGCGGCCGGCGCCGTCAGAGGCTGGTTTGAGGAGCAACCATATTGGCAAAGGCGGGGCGAGCCAGCTCGTAGCAGTTTTCGAAACTCCGAATACTATCGTAGTTCCATACTTAGGGCGCAGAGACGAATATCAATCTCGAGAATCCTCGGAGTGAAGAACCGGAAAATGGCGGAGCTCTCTGCACAGCACAGAGCCCTATCGGGAATCAACTCCTAAGATCCTCGTAGCAGGGAACCAGGGAACCCTCTGTGCTGAGAGCTCCGATAATTTTCGGGTTCCGGACTCCGAGAATTTCCAGAGTCGATCCTCGACGGGGCCCTCTCAGAGAGCTCCGACAATTTTCCAAACAAGATGAGACCCGAGCGCTAGAGTGCGATGAAAGACTTTTGTTCGAGTAAGATATCGGCACGAGCGGCATTCTTATCGGCCGCGTCCGAAATAATGGATAATTGCGAATCATCGCCCCGGGTCGCACTACAGCCCGCTACGCGGTGCCTAGGACACAATGAAAACTAGAATGATTACAAAATATTTCCATCAGATTCCGAAAAGCATTTCCTGATGACACCGCCGCGGGTTTTCAGCGTACCATGGCTAATGTACACAAGCATATCCGAAATCGGTACCATCACCCTCCGTGAGATTCTTATAGTGAAACCGGAATTAAAGTCAACAGAGCTCGCTCAAGCTGCTCGTCACAAAACAAGGTTCGATTCTTAGTCTTATAATCTAGTATTACATGTATGTATGTATATGAAAATATCGTTCGGACTGTATGACTCCTGTACACACGAATGGCAACCCATGTGGGCTATTGTGATTGAAGTTGTGTGTCTCCTCGCAGATCACAGTATGGAATCATCATATAACAGAGGAGTGTCCTTCCACATTGCTCGGACCTCCCACCCGAGCCGGAGAGATGGATGAGCACACGCGCGGCAAAAATCTCCAGGGCAATCTTCATACAGGATCCCCTCACATCTTTGAGCCACTCCCTAGGATGTTTATTCCGGCAGAACGGCTTCTTGGAGCTGGCCGCTCGCTTCAGCCTCGACATTCTGATTCACGTTGTCCTCTGAAAAACGCTCCTCCTCCCGAGCTAGTTTCTCTTCGCGTAGCCGACGTCTTTCGCATTTGTTGCATGAGTTCCCGTGAGTCAGCATACACTGCCGATGGTACAGCGCAGAACACAACTCACAGAAATGAGTTTCCGCCATGTGGAAGGGGAATATCATCTGCAAATTTCCAAGGGATCGCGTTAGGATCTTTGGACGACCCGCCCAGCATAGCCCAAAAGACTCCCTTGTTGATAATGCGATTTCATTCATGAAGTTTCACCGTATATTCACCTTGGGATCGTTACAAAGCTCGCAGAAGAATCCCTTCTGCCCGCAGAGCTGACAGGACAGCACGTGTTTGCTCGCAAAGGTACATGCTTTCTCGAGAAGTCTTTGCAGGGTGCCTATAAGACGAAGCATCTGTCAAGGAGCCCAAGCTGCCGAGTCGTCTCCCCCAATCAGTGGAACAAGTTTCAGCTGCATGATCATATCGTAGTCAAAGCTCACCTGATGGGACCGACAACAAATCCGAAGTCGAATAAAGATGGACGTGCTCGTAGAGATATTCGCGGGGCCAAACCATCTTCTGGAGCTGGAGGCTGACATTGTCGGAACAGGAAAACAGGTAGAGTCTCAGGAAGCCCAACTGTCGTCTGAGGGATTGAATGGCCGCCAACTGGGGAACTACCGCGTACAGGACGGGGTTGAGCTCTCGAATGTCCATCAAAGGTTCCTGCTCGTACCTGGAAACGCGAGAACCAGCTGTCGATTGGTCAATCTACTCCCCGGGGGTCCGATGAACACTCCGAATGGGATTAGGCGGAAACCTACGGGTCTGCGATTTTGTCTAAACATACTTTAAGAGAAACATTTTGTTGAAGCGACACACAGGGTTCGCTCGTAGATCCCAGTCATGGACGACTCTGGCTGGCACAACGTGCTCCTCTGCTGGCTCGTCTTTACCCCCAGAGAAACATTCCTGACAATACAAATGTCCATCGAGTGAGCATTTCCTATATGGTCCGAAAATCATGCCTGAAATCACAAGTGCGCTTGGTTTTGTGTGTATCCTCGCAGATCACTGTATGGAGGGTAATCTTATAACAGAGGAGTCTCAGCTCAAAACGATAGCATCTCGTATCTGAAAGGATTAGATCATTTCATTCAACCCTGACAGACAGGAGGAGCAGAGCGAAGGCTGCGGAAGGAGTGAAAAACCTCGAAGTCCATTTACCGATTGAGCACTTGCAGCCAAAACACTCGAAATTCTGCTGATCCAGACCAAACTCCTTGGGAATTCGCCCGATGTTCTCCAGCAGCTCGAGCGTCCGTTCATCTTCTCGAGCCGGTTTCGGGATGACTTCGAAATCGTCATCGACTCCATCCGTCTCTCCGTCTTGGTTCGCATCGTCACTCTCGTCGCGAAGATAAGCGGCCAACGACGGCGGGTTCGCCTGCGGCATTCATGTCCGATTTTAGGTCATCTCAATTATTATCAATCTCACTCTCATCAATCAATCACTCCTCAATAATTTCTTGCTTCGACTGACCTTCGAACCGTAAACCTGAGAGAGCATGTTCGACAATTCCGGCGTGCCGACCGGTGACACGAGGGGGTTCACGGCGATGTGTTTCGTGTACGAGTTCAGAATCGAGTCGAAACTCGCCTCCTCCACGCCCTCGTCTTCATGTTTCTCTTGCGTGAGCATCCCCGTGACTCTCTCTCCACCGCCATCGTGGGTTCCGGGGTCGCTGAATGGCGAAGACCATCCCAGACTGCTTTCCACCATACCACCGGCCCAGCTCCTGAAATGAAAACTGACTTAACGAGGCAGACCATAATTTGCAGGGGAAGTATCTCTATGTATGTAACGAGCGCCTGAATGATTCATATGTGTAGCTTGAGTGATAGAAGCGAAGTTCTACGGAGGTGTGTCCCCGGGAGCTTCCAGATCACTGACCTGACCGTTTCCTCAGACCCTTCTGCTCCTTGATGCTCGACCGAGCTCGTCAGGCACTTGTCTTCGGTTCCTTCCTCCTCCTTGAGTTCCGGTTGCGGGCTGGCAACAGCTACTATAGGCTCGTCTCGTTCTTCGAGCTGGGAGACGGATAATGAAAGCATTAGCTGGAGCTTGGAGCTCTGGTGAATCATTCTCGACCTGGCTCCAAGAGCGATCTGCGAGTTCTAGATTCTCATTCGAGAGGGCTCTGATGGGGACGGACTCACTGTTCGGAAGCCTTCATCCGAATCCAGTTGTAGTTCGTTGAGCAATTGTCTGACATCTTCTGAGGCGCCGGATTGCCGGTCAGTCTCGTCGTTTTGTCTCGATTCCTCTTCCTGTCGGTTTTTCTGGAAATGGTTCGAGTGAACCGACATTTCAGTCCAATGTGATGGGCTCTGATAGCTCGATATCCTCTGACGCTCTCGCTGGGGGGAGGTACACTGGGACTGAGCGAACTAACCTCCAAGGCCTGTTCGATTTCTTGAGCGATACTCTTTGAGAGAACTAAGTCTCTGAGACTTTCTTCACATCCACGATCCCTTGCTATGGGCAGGCGATGCGAGGATACTTTTCCGGCGGAGCCTTTCTTGTTGTGCGCCGCATCGTCGCTAATAAAATAGTCGTCGACATCGACACCCCTCATCACAGGTTGTACATCCTCATCGCCGCCGTCTTTCCAAAAGCCGGATAGTAGCAGCGGTTGCTTCTGCCAGACGTTCAGCGACGCGACATTTAGAGGGAGCGAGACTTTGACGTGGCTCAGCAGTGAACTAAGGAGCCGGATCACGATAGCCACGAGCTCTGGATCTCTCAAGAAGGCAGAGGACCTGTAGAACGACGGCAACGCTTTCACATCCTGAGAGATGCATTCTGTAAAGAGTTGCATCGAAGAGATTATCTCGCTTGTCAACCGAGCACACTTAGCCCGCAGTAGCTTTTCGAATCGATCACTGCCTCCTCGGCGCATCCTCGACTCACCCACGAACGACGAGAGGGTGCCATCAGTAATCACGAGCCGAACCCAAGCTCGGCAACGTCCAACATCGGTGGTGATTTGATCCAATGAGCTCAGCGTTTGTAGATCGTCCCGATGAGTGTACAGCATCACGAGGTCCCAAAAATCCGGTTTCGGCAGCCGCGAGCCGCCGAACACGTCGCTCATCATTTTCGTTAAACGACCTTTCGAGCTAGGGAGAAAGTGAATCGCGGATCAACAAGTGACTGCGTGTCGGAAGGGAATCGTCCATCCGCACATCGAGTGTCTCTGCATCAATGCACCTGCTGCGCCGGAACCTGATTCCATACCTCGTTTGCAGACTCACCCATGGAGGAATATCGCCTCGATCACCTCACAGAAACGATTCGCTACGTCGCCCTGCGTGATTTTCCGTTCTGGATTGCGCAGCGCCTCCATTTGAACATCCTTCACGGTTGCAACCGTGTATCTGGCGAGAGTCTTGCGGAGATACACGTCCTTCACAAGATCCTGTACGCTCGGTTGTTTGAAGATATTCAGTGACATCTAGATCAGTAGATCGATGCTTTAATCTAAAGGAAGGCCGATTTGGATACATGACAGATATGGATCGCGGCAACGAACGCTCGTGACAAGATGCATGCTCGACGTGTATCATCAGAATAGACACCCGGCAGACGTAGCTCATTGCAGAAGGGACCGTTCGGATAGGTATCCGCGAATACGAGGACTGGCTCCATGGAGCTCTCGCGTGGAGATCGGTCTCAGGTGTCGGGATTTTGATTCCCCCGCTCGAGACCAGTGGCGTATGACGCTTTTTTGAGTACAATGGGATTGCGATTCGCGATGCTCCTCGCATCGAATATATTCGGACGGAAAAACTGTGAAGCAGCAGTTCTCAGCTGATCGAGACGGGAAGACTCACCATTTTGTAACTCGCGATGTCACGCCGAAGAGTACCCACATGCGCAGTTCCCCCAGATCGTCACGGAGCGAAGGACTCCTCAGTGCTAAACGGAGAACCTGGAGAACACTGAGGTACAGAGTAGTCGCGGAAGCTTTCCCCGATATGCCGCCATCCACCCAAATTAAGATCGGAATCAGCTGTCCAAGAAGAAGCGCTCGCTCTCTCTCTCTCTCCAGTGAACACACCACACACACCATCACCACCGATATATGAAAACAGAACCGCTCCTCCCCCGAAACTTACCCTTGTGGCGCCTTATTCAAATGTGTTAGAGCCGTCACGTATATTGCGACCAAGCTCATCTCGGAGTCGAACCCAAGACCGATTTCCTCTGAGCAACGGAGGATTCGACACTCATAAGAGCAGGAGCGGCATGGGGAGAGCGAGATAAGCGACTCCGGCGATGTGTCGGACAAGCCTTTTCGCTGGACACCATGAGCACGCTAGTGTAACGTTTCCGATGAAGATCTCTTATTAGCCCTAGCCACCAAAATGGCTTTCGACGTATCAAAATTCGTATTGCACATGAATGGTTGATGAGAAATCACCGAAGCCTACGAGAATTTCGACTGGGTATCCGTTACATCGGGGAGCGGACCACGCAAATTAAGAGGTAATGACGTCGATGGTCCTTGTAATACCTAGAGATTCGGGGGCTGTCGCGCGATCGCGAGTTTCGCTCTCGTTGTGATCCAGATCAGTTTGTACGGTCCCACCCTGGGGGTATCCGATTTCACGTGTTTTAAAGGGGCTAGCCGGAGCTGTCGCTGGCTCTTGAAGCTCCTCCTACGGACGCAGGATGTCCAGAGCGGTCCGTTCATCGCTGGAAGGTTTCATCAGTCCTCAGGATGTCGAGAAGTTGGTCCCCCCAAACATGACTTCGACACTCGCCACAGGATGTGACTTAATGGAACTTCTGATTTCGCAATCCGAAATTATCCGGGAGAGCTTCTGGGGAGCTTCGCGAACTTAGGTTGCCTCCCTGCGATAAGGAGTGCGTCGTCTCCGAGGATATTTCGGAGGTTCCAGTCAGAGTTCGTTTTGCTCGTCTATCTGGGAACATTCCTGCTTTATCCGTGTACTCGGAAACCCAGTTTCGGAGGGGATAAGCCGAGCACCTAGGAGATTGAGCGCGGACAGGCTATTCGTAGCACCACGTCAAAGAATAAGAAAAGCGCTCCTGGGATACGTGGATCTCTTGTGAATTTTTTTTCGTCGGCAGGTTCGGTTCATCTGCTATCCACTCCAAGCCGACTCATGCTCTGACGGGTTCGCCGTAGAATTTAGCCGAAGAACGAGGCAAGTCGAGATTTGAATTCCGAGCATACGCTCTGGGGAGGGGAAGGAGAATTCCAATGGCACCTCATGGCATGCGGTACCATTGAGCGACGAATGGTCGCCGGGGAGCGGGGGCGCCGATTTATTCTCTACGCGGCTGACGGTGTTGCCTCCCTACCGGATCGCGCAGGAAACAGGATTCAGGGTCAGACACACGGGCCATAGAACACCATCAAATACTCTCGCCGACCATTTTCGACACTGAAAGCTCTGCCGCGAACCTGTGGCAGGGAATTCGCAATGACCCCGAGCCCATCAGGCATGAGCGCTCCCGCCTGCGAAGACGTTCTCGAGGTGTGGAGATGATAGGGGAACAATCATGGGAGCCAGAGCTCCATGAGCGTGACTTTCTATGGGTTCGACAAGTCCGTAGCGTCGAGACTCGTCCCTCGCAACCCTTCGGAAAAGAGAGGGCACCGGAGGAGCATTTCCGCAACTCGTCCCCACCACAAAGCAGAGATCATCGGCACCCGGCGGTGGAACGTCGTCTGTTTTCGCTAGAGCAGGAGCTTCAGGCCAGAGTCCCTCACCCTTGCCCGGCTCGTCATTCCGGCAGAACGTATTCTCGAGATCCTAAATTCTTATGGTCATCGGGCGGGCAATGCGAGTAAGTCTAGAAAATGACGGAGCTGAGATCGGAGGCCGCCGCTGCTGCTCGGCTGTGGCAGCGTTGCCGCCATCGCCGCCGCCGCCGCAGCAACCGCCGCGGCTGCTTCCCGACCCGAGGGGAGAGGCTGCGGCAGCGGCTACGTCGGCTGCAGCCGCTGCTGAGGAGCACCACCACCACCAGGGCCTGGATAGACATAGTGTGCTGCTGCGAGAGAAGCTGTTCGGTGGAAGCTGCTGCTGCCGCAACCGTTGCTGCATGAGGACTGGCCAGGACTATCTGAGTGTTTCCTGGGGCCGACTCTGAGTCGCTCAGTGTGGGAAGCCTCAGTAGGCCCAATAAGAGCGGAAAACGCTGGCGCAGCGGAGCGTTTGCGATCGACTTCGGAGCAAGGGCCACACAACGAGCTCTTCAGAGGAGTTTCCACCGTCGAAGCCATCGCCGTCGTCCCCGGGCGGACCAGGATGGGGCTCCCGTTGCGATTATTCTCTTACTGAGGTCCGGATATCGCCGATAATCATCGACCGTGGCGAATCACCAGCTGATATCTCTCGCGCTTGATGTACAGCTCTAGCTGCAAGAGTATTCATCAGCTTGTTCCTCCGCAGTCGCCAGCCTCGGTGTGTGCTTGTGGGTGTTCCTGAAGTGAACTTGATTGGAAATCCTCAGAGGAGCCTTGAAAATGAACGAATACCAATGGTAAGCGAATCTAGTGGCTCTGTCTCGGAAGCTGTGTGAAGAGTCGACGCTCGGGACGTCTCTGGGGAAGCATAGTAGGCGGCTCTGATACAGGGTTACCGGGATCATTGTTGATTCGATATCACCGGGGATCCAGAGTCTGACGTTTCTCATCTGCGTACGGATCGAATTCCGCTCCGAGGAAGAATCCCATTCCCCTCCCTCATAGGACCATTATGCTTGCTTCATTTACTCAAGCTCGCAGAGGGGCACTCACATAAACACACATAATTCGGCATCACGAAAGCATCTCAGTGCAGATGACAGTGGGCCACTGAACTCAGAAAGGAAGGTTTGAGGATTGACCCACGGATCAGCCTGATAGTTTACATTCGGAGCGAGTGCTCCGAGTGACAAGAGGGAACTGATGCGAAATCGAAAGCGTCCTTCGAGCTGGAGTGCGACTCAGACAATTCGAAACTCTCTATCGGGATCGACGACGAGCCGGAGCCCCGTGGAAGATCCGGAAGCTCCAAGTGGGTTATCCGACAAACACTTCATCCGTTGCAACAGGGAGAGAATCGGTTCAGCGCCGGGAAAACGAGAGCATGGGAAGGACAAGAACAATCAGATGTGATTGACTCGGAGACGGGTCATTTTACTCCGTGTCAAAATAAACCATTCACAGACGGCAGGAAGGCATGCCTTCGGCGAATGGGGATGCTCCTTCTGAGTAAAGTTCGGGCATAATTTGTTCATTGACAAACCCCGAATCGTCGGATTTGAGAAACAGAAACTAGTGAGCTGGAGCTGCTGATGCGACGAATAACCCCTCGGGTCGTCGTCCCAGGCAAGGAGCTGGGTGATTCGGACTGGGACTCTTTGTCTAGCTACGGGTCTCACTCGAAGTCGAATCTTTGAGATCTTTCTCTTCGGCGGGAGCGTGTAGGCGAGAGTGCGGCGAAGTGCTAAGTAGCGTCGGCGACTTGTCGCGAGGCTGTCCTCACGGCGAGATCCTTGGAATCGCTTCCCTAGGCTTCAGAATCATCATCTGCCCCGGAGGCCCGAATTCCCCACTGGTTGCCCGATTGGAAATGAATCCGGAAAACATCGCCGCAGCCTTCGACTATTTCGGCTTTCCGGCTCAAACAACTCACTGTCCGAGCCGAATAACACTAGGAAGGGCTTTCGGAGGGGCATACCAGCTCTGATCCCACCTCATCTATTTGCGTCATCTCAGTGTCCGAACAGGAGGTGTGAGAAGAGTTTATCAAGCTATGGCGGCATATGCAGCAGAATCACCGCCACTACTAAAGTCATTCGCATCATATGAGCGTAGCACGGGAAGCAGCCCGTGGTCGGTTTTCGTTCGCTTCCTGAATTCTGGCGGAAGACCGAGCGCCGGCTTCAGTGGGGACACCGCAAGCCGCCGATGATGTCGGTGTTCACATCCGAGCGGAATGCTTCACGAACGCCGGCCCAGACCGGACCGGCAAGTGCGGACTCCACACAGATTCGCAATCGGTCAAGTTCGGTCCTGTCGAAGTAAGGAGTGAACTCTGGGGACCAGAATTCTGGAGTGACTTCTGTGGATAGGGGCAGAGGATCTCCTTGTGAAACCTGGCCAGAATCCGGAGAGGAAGTCAAAGATCGAGACGACCGCCTCCGGAATTACAGGGAACGATCGGCTTGCACCGGGGTGATGTAGCGTGTTGTCGAAATGAGGAATTCCCAAATCGACCAAATACGAGCTTGCACATAATCTCAAATGATGCTTGAGCATTGGGGAACACCCTCGGACAGGGAATGGGAGTCTTTCTCTAGTTCATCATTCGATCTCGGGACGTTGAAGAATTTACCACGATGGGAACGTTCACAAATTAGGTTTGCATTTCTCGGGCTATCCGCTGGAGCAGCATAGTGCAGCAGTATCCAAAGTTCGCCACTCGCAGAAGCCTGGGGCGGCTCAGAGTTCGACAAGTAACCCCAGCTCTTCCCTCGAGAAACATTCCCGGTCGGGATTCGGAACTATTTTTTGGGTGATTTTGGGGAATTCTGGGCTTATCGAGGAATGACTTTCGAAATGATCGCGATTTACCGATGCGACTCCCGCTGACGACGGCTGATGACTAGATGCTGGCCGCTCCGTCAGACTGTTGGCGGCTCGTGTGTCGGAGTCAAAGCCGATATCACCGGGCACACGCTATCCACCAAGCTATCCAGAGTGGCCGATTGGAACCAAGTAAGATTTCTTACTGACTGGCCGCTGTCGTTCGACAATTGTGTCCGGGCGGCCATCCGGCCCCAATATGCTGCCGTCAGCGCGAGGGTCGCTGGATGGCAGGAGGCATGGTTTTTCCAATTAACGGAGCGAAAGATGTAGGAATGGATTCCCGAGATGATCGACTCACCGAGCGCGCTCTCGAAGGATCGGTCCAGGATCAGATTTTCGGTAGCCCACGGAGTTCGAAGTTGTCAGATTCGCTGAGATTGGAGTTGAATAAGATTGAAATCGACTTTGATGAAATCATGCCGGACAACAGAACGAGAGCTCTCGTCTCTCACTCGTCATGGTTGGGTCTTGTGTTTGTAGAGCAAACTTGCAATAGAAATTAAGCATTCGTCCCGATTGTGTCCCGCAATGTGGTCTGCGGGTGATCTGTTACTGGGAAACACTGCCTTGGAGTCTACGACGTTGACCGACGAGCCTTAGATGCTTGATAGGGCTCGTTGTGGGCTCGCTCGATTTCGAATTCTCTGGGCCTTTCCTCATCTTTCCTCCGGAAGGAAAACGCCGCCGCGTGATCGCCATCGTCCTCTTCAGCTTCCTCTTAGAGACGCGTCAGATTGAAGCATTGGCTAAGCGTAGGTCATAGAAGCGATGAGTGGGAAAGGGGGGAATGTTTGTCAGCGAACGGGGCTCTCGCCCCGGAGAGAACAGGGAGAATTAGGGTCAGGAACCGAAAAAATGGTAGATGCAGAAACGAGGGAGGAGACTCATAGAAGAATCGGGAACACAACCGTTGTTCATCCTCAAGACAAGAGAACCGTAGATAGTTTCATGGCCATGAAACGAAGAACTCACAAGATGAACCCCTCGGTAACGCTGAGTCGATTCGCCCCGCAACGCCCTCGGCGTACTTGTTCGGGCCCTCCCTGGAGCGCCCAAGTCGTAGCACTTAGCTAGAGCCCTTTCTTGCAAGCTCCAGAAGATTCCAACTCCTCCGATGGGCGACGGACGGGTAGACACCGTTGCGTGGCGTTGAATGCCGAATGCGGTCCGGCTGACTCCAATCGCAGTGGTTCCGTTCACGGAAAAAATGTGCGACTGATCTTCCCCAAGAGAACACAATGGCCGATGAATTTACTGCGATCTGAATAATGCTGGATGTCCGGTCGGTGGCGCCAGACTCCGTGGCCTCGCGGGCAGGGTTCGAAATATTCCGCGAATCGGCGTCTTTTACTAAGCCAGTCCACTCGCTACAGAGCAGCCTTATTCATTCGAAAACTAATAGCGACTCCGAAATCATGAATCGTTCTCAGGCAGAAATGAATCGAAGTGATTTATCTCCGGTAGTTTCCACCATGATCTGAACTGGGCTGCCAATGATCCCGCTCTTATGCGTGGTCGCTAGCGCTGCAGCGGCCGTTCCGAAGAGACTCGAGCGCTGCTCAGCGCGAAATCCAGCGTCCCGAGAAACTCGCCCGCTGAAACAGAGCGAGAAGAGTTCGGCTTGGATGAATGCTTCCTTCTGTTGCCTCGCGCCCTCCGCCTCTTCTTCAACATCTTGTCCATCCTTCGCTGTCGCTGCTCTCTGGTCTTGAAGTTTTACTTCGACGGTCGCAGTAATAAAAAAAAGAGTAGTGACTTCGCCGCCGCCGCCGCCCCTGCAGCACCACCTCCGGTGAACGGAACGTCCAACGCGAGGGTCACAATTTTCCGCGACCAAGCCGGTAGAGACGAATTCGGCTACGATCCTGGCATTTACTGTCATCAGATCCTACCGTTGGTTCGGGATCTGAATTAAGTCAGGCCGAGAACACGGAGCACGGGGGTATCCGAGAGCGGGGTAGGCGATCGCCACATTCCCTCCAGTATTCCGACTGCCTGAATTTTCCATGTTCAAGCTGACCTCAGGCATAGATCCGCTTCTCCCTCGATGCATCGACCGTCTCTCCCCCTCTTAGGAGATTCCTGGGTTCGCACCAGACGCGGAGACTGACAACTCGGCACACTTGCGCCCCCGCCCTGTAAGAGCATGCGAAGCTCCGATTCTCTGCCCTGGAAACGAAAACTGCTCGGTTTTCTTGTTATGGTTCGCCCAATGAGGGGGGGGGGGAGTTCTCGACGCAGCATTCTCCCGCTTTCGGAAAGATTCTTCATGCTTTGAACTTTTCTCCATTATGCGGACTTCTGAACGGATCCATGGACGATTCTGGAATTCTTCCCGTGAATATCTGAGCATCTAGTCGTATCCAACGCCGGGAATCCGCATGATCTCGTCGGAAAGCTCGCTCGATCACTGATTCCAGCCGGAACAGAAGAATCCGAGATCGGTTCCGGATAAAAATTGGTCCGATCGGCCTACGGAGCTCTACAGAATGCTTGCATGCTCTCGAGCTCCAGAAACCAAGGGATTCGGATCAGTGCGCCGAATGGAGTTTCTCCTCCGCGTTAAACAACGCCGGGTGCGGGGGGCTCCGCGCTCCTCGGCCGGGAGCGATCGCAGAGGGGGCTCAGCGATTCACCAGCTATGATCTCATGCAGCATGTCGATCCAAAACCGACATTTCGGCCCCTTTTAACAGGTTCTAAGCGCTCTCGGCACCGCCCTCAACTACAGGCGAAGATTCGAGTGATGCGCGTAGCGAGTCTATGGGGCATCCATCTCTGAATATCATCAATCAGCTGAACGACTGGTAACTTCTTGACCAAGACAGAACTCCGCCTCTCGCCTTCCGCAGGGGCGGGATCAGCGATTCTGCGTCCGATTTGATTCAGCTAGAGTCTCGAAGACGACATCCATCGTTGGATGATTCCTCCATTCGCTGCCTCCAGGGGCTATCCCCCTCGATTCCAATGAGCTTTCCGACCTGACCGCGCAACTTCTCAAGGAGGGGAGGCTTCGACCATCCCGGATGCTCAACAATACAGCCCGGCCGATTCCTCCCGGATCGATCAATATCTTACCAGAGTCTCTCTACATCCCAAAGAGTGTAGATATAATCAAACCCTCGCCGTTCAGAGCTGAGTGAGAGTTTCCTTGGGGGTGTGGACTCCTCGAAAGCGAAATAATTGTTCCGAGATTTGATGAATCGGAAATCTGAGGAATTTGCGGCTGTGTGCAAAGCCGAATAGCTACCAGAGCAGATCTAAAATCGCATGAAGAATGCTCATTCGGGGCGAGTTCTATCCGAATCATAACATAAACTCAAGTGTACCTATTTCGCTTTCAGGGCGTATTCCTTGGTGGACTCCAGTCGAGTTTCAACTTTCCTCATTTCGATTCTGCTCATTGTCTACGGGAGTTTTCGGTGAGTTGAGAAATAAATATCATTACCTCTCATAATCCTTCAGGCCCGAGCTCCGTGCGATCCTACGAGGCTGTGGTCCCTGATGCTCTCACGCGGCTGCGTGAGACATTGCTGTCGAAAGTTCATTCGCATGGAATTGAAGAATCGTTCATACGGCCGGATGAGTGCGTTTGACTCAATCGCGTTGGTAGCTGATGCAAGACCGATTTGACTTCTGTCTTTTCACTTAACCGTCGAATCAGAAGTTCTCTGAGAACGAAATCAAAGATTCGCAGACTCGGTCGTGGTCGTTGACAGAGGTTTCCCGAAAATAGACTTGGTTATATCCAATCATTCCCGTACTAGTCCCATCCGACTCTTCGGAAACTCCCGAGACGCATCACGGGGAACGGGAGGCTGAAAGGCTACGGGAACCGAAATCATCCAGAAAAAAGTAACAGGTTGCTGATGAAACGACTGGTTTCGTCGACAGGTCTGGTATTCGGTCGGCTCGTCGCATAGTTCGACACTTGCAGTACCAATTCGGCGGGCGCACGAGATCGACTCGCTTTCGAGTCGTTGCTCATCCTTTCAACGTCCCTTGACGAGTCAATGAGTCGTACGATCAGCGATGGTCGGCCAATGGAGAAGCCAAACACTCCTCGGGATTCAAAACTACTCCAGGCTGCATCCGCTTCTGTCATTCGCCTCCGAGGTACTGATGCATCGAGCAATGGGGCTGGAGCCGGCTTTAAGATCAGTCGAGAAACGTATCGACATACCGGGGCCCGAATATCGCTGCGCCAGCTCCCCGGCGATCTATTGGCGACCGCTGCACGTGACCCTGTGTATTGAATGCAGTTTGATATGAAGGGAATTCGATGATTGATGGGTTCCCGGAGTTTGCAGCTCCGCAGTCGAGCAGGATCGCATGAATGGGACCCGGACTCAAATCAGTAGAGCCCGTGGCTTCATGCCCTATGAAATCCGGATGAATGCATGTAAACACGCCCTGAAAGAGGGCCGATATATGCATTGAAAAAAGGATATGCTCACAAAAAATGAGGAGCTTTGTGCAGCTTTTATGATACTTTTTGAGATTTACTCAATCCTGTTTGATACAGGCACAATTTAATTGTTCCTACAATAGACAATGAGATGCATCTTCAAATTTTCAAACGTAAAACTCTGACGACGGTCGCTGAGAAGGTGCTTCAAACTAGAGAAGCTGCTTTCAATATCAACCGACGTGATCGGTGCGTACTTGAAGCAGGCAGTCTCCGACGGGTCGCGGCTCGCGGCCAGTGAGACGATCCGGGGAGCTGCGCCCTGAAGTACGTCCGAAATACCCTTCAGAATGCTGAAGCCTCTATCACGAATCACAACCGCATCGCATTTCCTGCGGGCCGAATCCCCAACATCACCGGGTGTTCTCTTGAGATCTTTCTCAAGCGCCCCCAACATGTCCACGCTTTCTACCAGAGACGGTCCCTTCGTTTCCAGTTTCTCAATGGCATACGGGAGCTCTCCTAAGTTTGCTATTATAAAAGCGAGATAGTCCCTTACAGAGGGCCCCCTCAGAGAGGGTCAGAGAAACCGCCGAGGAGAAACTCTCAGCTCACAAGTACGGAGGTACCTCGTTGAACCTCCTCAAGTCAGGTGGTTCGGAGAAGTTTGGGCATCATTGAGCCGTAAGGATCCGGGCATACAGCACATGTGGCGATAGTGTCTAGGTCTGGGTTCCACAAGTTGTTCCACCACGGGATCCACAGGGGAATCCCTCGACAGTCCCGTAGTGTGGTCGAGATGAATTGCATCCGCGACTTTTCGTTCCGACAATCAGATGCACGGAGAGCATCCGGGCGGAGCACCAAATCCTCAAATAGCGGATGAACGCCGAGAGCGCTCCGTGAAACCCTATGATTTCTGTGAATTCTGAGGGTTCTCGCCCGGGAAGCATGGCTTCAGTCGTTTAGGGTTCGGAACGGACACGAGGGTCTGTCTGTATCCGTGCCCGAATCGCGGGATGACGTGTGAAGGCCCGCTCATGGTTGAACGACGTAGCCCTATCTCACTCAGGAATCTCACATCCGTTGAATTTTTCTTCCAGATCTCTCAACATGGAACAGGAAGCTAAGCTCAGGGAGAAAGAAGCCCGGTGCAATCTGCTGAGGGAGGGCGAAAAAGGTCCATCTGATTCCAACAGTAAGCTAATTATGCGTATAGAATTGTTGTCCCTCTTCGGGAGAGACGAACCCGGCTTCTGTAGGGTTGGGGATTCGTGCTCTCCGGGGGCCGTAACTTCTGCGAAGGAACCGAAGATCTTGAGGGTCGAGGCAAGGATCGGGAGTCTGAACTCCAGCCTTCTGCATCGCCCCGGGTTTGGACGAACTCTCGCCCGATGCCCCTAATCATTCCCCGTGCTTTCCAGATGTTCAAACCCTGGACACAATGCAGGCCTTGTGTCTACCGTTGGGAGCGAGTGTCTCATTGCTTGTGATGTTCTTCTTTTTCGACTCGATGCAGATGCTTTTCGCAGTGGCTACTGCCGTCGTGGCAACGGTGGCCCTAGCATTTCTTCTTCTCCCCATGTGCCAGTACATCATTAGACCATGTTCCAATGGACAAAAGTAAGTCGACTAAGAGTAGCTGTCCAGCAATCGCGCGATCGTTTCCGACGACATCCCATAGGAAGCTCCGGCAGCATGATAAAACAATTATTGAGTAGACCTCCGTCAGTCGAAGTGGGTTCTGCAGAAAATCAAAAGCCTTCCATCGCTCGGCCTCAGTGCCGGCAGGAAAGGACGCGCATAGGTTCGGTTAAACCGTGTGAGGAAGGGTTTCGAGAACCTCGATATTTGAATCATCCCTAAGTGAGCACTAGCTCTGCGGATTTTCGTCGTCGCGCGTCGGACTGTCACAGTCCGTATATCGGACCCTGACAAAAATGAACGAATGCAATAGAAGTGCTCCACGCTGCACACTTTCGTTTTGCGGCGGTTGCGAACTGCGTGCAAAGCGTTGCAATCGTGCTCCCTCTCCCTCCTCGATGTAGATTGATGAGTTCAAAACTAGCAAAATCTTCGGGGAAGGAACTCTGTCGCACTTCGATGAAATTACGATTGAGAATCACACCCTCGACCCTGTGTAGACTTATCGCTCATGTAAGATGCTAATAGTGTTGCTTTAGAAGAACGCTCGATCCCTTCATAGGGCGTCCATAAGGATGTGTCGGAGAGTTGGAGCAGATAGCGGTTTTTCGTCACTATACACGAACTGGGTTGTGGAGTGTTGTCGGAACGGCTTTGCGACATTTATCAATGCTAGTATTCTTGCTCTTGGAACCATGGAATAAGAGGCTGCTACCCCCTCGATTCTAAGGATTATTTGTTCAAAGGAGGGTATTCGAAATATTGGCAAGCGTGATTCCCACGATCGTTGCCATTCGTCGAAACAACAACGCTATCATTCGAGATTCTAGAATCCACTCGCTGGTCGAGTCCCAAGTAGGTTTTGCGAGAACCCGCAAAATTCTTCAGAGAACCGCGGTTCTCGACTGCGACTCCATGCGCTTGCTTGCGATTTCTGATAGACGCCGCATGTTGAGCTTGAATCGCGCAATTGCTGTGATTCTAGAAACCGAGGTTCCTCGCGAAGCCTTGTGATAACTGAGGAAGCACCCGCGTCTTTCTATTCGGGAGACATAGAACTCGAACCGAGGACAGGGCCCTATATCCGGTGTGCTATGCGGAGGACGCAGTCCCGCGTCAGAAAAAGTTGTTCCAAAACGGTTTCTCCCAGAGAAAATGTTCCTCCTCCGAAATTCGGCTTCCCCATTGGACTTGGCGGCGCGGCAGCGAAATTGATTGGCGAATTGAAACAATAGTTCAATCGATTGTACAAGGATACGATCAGCCAACCAATTCGCCTAGTAAAACCGTTTCTGAAAACGGGCTTCTCCTCGGCGTCGATTTCGACAAATGATGGGAAGATTCATTCGAGAGACAGAATCGCGTGTTCCTATGAACGCGGCGTCTGGGCAGCATCTCCCCGAGTCGCAGCGGTATTGAAGCGCTCAACGAGGCAAGCGCATTCTATTCTGATGCGAATTCGCTACATCTCATTGGGATCCTCCGCCAAATGTCGTTGATCGCGCCTGAAAACAAAGTCTGCTCGCATATTCAATGCGAGCAGTCTTCGCCGGGGGAGACATTCCCTCCTAGGAACAAAAGTCATCCGGCCGACGGTCCCTCACGCGCCCATTCCTGAGCACTCCATGGGAAGAGCTTTCGATTTCATAGACAGATGTTCTGAGCTTGATCCAAGGGCTCTGGATATCCGCGGCCGCAGCATCTGTTATGAAATCTATCCGCGGTGACTTCGACGCATCTCAACCGTGAGTTTTCTGTATCTCTTTCCAGAGTTTCACTGGGGATCTGCGGGCGATTCACGGCAGCTGAAATGGTGTCCTTCGCATTATCTTTGGGCATCGTCTGCGTCTGGGTTCTCACGGGTCATTGGTTGCTGATGGACGCTATGGGTATGGGACTCTGCGTCGCCTTCATTGCGTTCGTCCGCCTGCCTTCTCTGAAAGTGTCGACGCTGCTCCTCACCGGTAAGTGGCTCAGAACGTGTCGAGGACATTATTGTGGGTGACGTTCAATGTTCAATGATAATGAGACAACGATACTTATTCAATGTAACTATTTTCATTCCGTATCCAGGACTCTTGATCTACGACGTGTTTTGGGTGTTTTTCTCGTCCTATATTTTCAATGCGAACGTTATGGTGAAAGTCGCTACGAGACCCGCGGACAATCCAGTGGGCGCACTTTCTCGAAAACTCCACATAACTGCCCAAAATGAAGGCCCCAAGCTGTCTCTTCCTGGAAAACTCGTTTTTCCATC